AGCAGGATTTATGTATTCTTCCCCTCATCATTTCATAAGTAAGAAGAAAACTATTGCCCATTTCAAAACTAAGAAAACATGTTTCAAATTTCAAAAATCAGATTTTTATTAAAATTTATTTATGATTTAATTAATTAGTTAAATATATTGAAGTAACATATTTATACAATAAGGTCACAAATTCACAATTTAATTAGTCACATATTATTTTTCAATCACAAATCATTATTTTTATACGTCACAATTATTTTAAGGTCACGGTTCAAAAAATTTATAGGTTATAATTTGTTTATCGGTCACAGATCAAAAATTTTGTAGGTCACGGATTATTTCAAGATCACAAATCAATAATTTTATAAGTCACAAATTATTTGATGGGTCACAAATTAAAAAATTACAGGTCACAAATATCTACCAATCACATTTTTTTTAAATTTATTGATCATGGATTAATTTTTAGTCACAAATTGTCGAATTTTAAGGTCATTGTTAGTTCAAATAACTGGTCACATACACCAAACATCCCATCACCGATTTCGATCCACCACCAATCTTGGTATGAATCACCACCAAACAACCGCCGTCGCCGCCACCTCAAACAAATCAACAGAAAAACACGAACGCACGGTCCTAACAGATCCATCTCGACACGTCCACATCGACAGAACCACCCCCACCACCATCTCACCATTACCCACTGCCACGACCACCACCGTCGAACGTCACAACCACCGTCGACCACCGCACAGTAGATCACATAAAAAACAAAAAAATTATAGATTCTGGCAGATCGGCTTTTCAGATTCGACCACCAACATCTCACCGACACCCACTGCCACAAGCACCACCGCTGACCGTCGCCCACTGCCACAAGCACCACAACATAGTATGTGATTGCTGATGGCGACATGTTGAGAGAGAGAGAGAGAGAGAGATGGGAACGGTGGGTTAGAAAGAGGAAATGGGACGGGTCGAGAGAGAGAGAGAGAGAGAGATGGGGATGGTGGGTTAAAGAGAGGAAATGAGAAATTAATTAGGTTTGGTGAAATTTGT